CAATGCCATGGCAAATAGAAGTTTGCTTACATTTGATTTCTCATTTTTCTTTTTGCGGTGTCCAGCATCAGCCCTGGCGGTGCCGGGGCACTATGCTCCGGTGGCCGCCGGGCCGGCCGGTCCTGGCTGTACTCCAAGCTCCGTGCCTCTCAGCTTTGCCCCCCTCCCCTCCCCACCGACCACCACCTTCACACACGCGTTGACCACACGTACCAGTGAGAATAATAGGAATCTCGCTCAGATAGCAGGACCCGATGCGATTTCCGTTTTCTGCAGCCACCGGCGTAGGCAGAGAAGTAGATCCCTCGCGGTGCGACGGAGATAGCGATAGAGTCGATGGGCTTTGCGCTGTATCCTTGTCGCACTTTTCTCCTCGTGAGCCCACACCACTGGAAAGACAACAGTGCTCTTTTAGAGACACTAAAGATTTAGTGCCTTGTTTACAAATCCACCAAAACTGCCAAATAAGGCACGACTTATTACCTCTTTGTTTTTCCAGTGCAGTTGAATTTGTCACTGAACCTGTAGATTTTGCGTTATGGTTAAGCGGTCTATCGATACAAAACGAGGACCATGCCACCAAGATGCCACACCCCGCCACGCCGCTGTTTAGGACCCATAGGGATTCCCCTCCAGCACAGCAGCCCGCACGTTAGACCGCAAAAAAGGATCCGCTCGGAAAGAAAATGAGAAGGTAGCGATCACGGAAAAAGAATAAGACACGAAGCAGTGGTCATGTGCGCATGCGTTCCGAGAGGTTCGCCACCGCGAGGCACACTGTGCAAAACTTCATTTATTCCTGGTGCAGACTTCGGACGAAAACTGTCGTGTTCGATTTACGTCCTCACTTTTTTTTAAAAAAAAAACAATGCCCTCAAACGATAAAAGCCAATAAGATTCTAAAAATATGATTTCAAAATGTATGAAATGTAGCTCGGAAAGTGGTTTATTTTGATGTCGTATCCTTAATCAGATTACCTCGATTACCCTCCCCCCCCCTCTCCTCCCACGCTCGTTTTGGTTTTTCTTATTTTTACCGCGCAGCTCATCGGAGCAGTTTAGTGCCACCGAGAGACCGTTCTTTCGCGATTAAGAAATAAACGAAACAATATAACTCCACCGGAGGCGGAGGACCCCGGAGGACCCCCCGCAGTTCTCGATTTGTGTCCCGATAAGGATGGCAGCAGAAGGTTTGTGCTGCAATTACGCAGTATACAGTTAATTGTTACAGCGGTCCTTCCGCCCCGCTCCAGCCAGTCGCAGTCGCCCGACCCGGACATCGTAAAAGAGCTGGTCCTTCCCTCGCCGCCGCTGAGCCCCATCGCCAAAACGACGCCGGCCCTGCGGCTCAGCTCTTAGTATGCAGGAGGGCGACCCCCCCCCCCCCCCCGGTGAGCCCTCCTGCCCTGGGCCACATTCCCAATTCAACACAGTCACAAAAACAACAGGTGGAGACAGTACGATCCGAGCGTATTAACGTGGATTGCGTCTCTGCCTCATATATACTCGCTCTCAATTACCAATTACCTACACAAGCACCGGTGTTTGCCAACTCTGATATCAGCCGGAATCCAGGTTACCCTACTATTAATAATTTTCCATTGTTGCCGTGCTCTTGGTATTTTCAGGGAACACGATTTTTTCCGAGCTGTGTAGGCAGACCGTGCAGTGACCGTTATCGTTGGGGACGCTTCCCAATCGGTGAATTTCGGCACGTACGCGGCGGGAAGGTCCTTTTTGTCTGCCCCAGTATGCACTGTGAAAAATTCGGTTGCCGTCTGTAAATACAGTTGTTGAAATATTGTTCCAATCAAAACCTAAATTTGATTATTAGAGTGTCACGAAAAGTGTATATGTCGTACACCGTACACATCTCTCTGTGTGTGACACGGTCATCGCACACTCTTGCGTAACTGAAATCTGGTAAATGTAGCTTTAAGCATTCGAAGAAACGTTTTGTCAGTTGGTCGACTTGGTCTAGTGGTCTAGTCAAGATTAGTTCTCATCCCCGTAATCACATTTTTGCGTTTGCACTGAATTGCATTTGAGCTGCCCTTCTCAGCAATGTGCGGCGTGCGCGCACGAACAGGCGAACAAGTGTTTCGTTGCACCGTGGTTCGTGCGAGCCCAAGGGTCCGCCACAGAGGTTCCCCCACGGCAGCCCGGGTCGGCGCCGAGGTCGACACTCTGCTCTCCACTCTGCTGCCCCGCGGGGCCCTCACGTCAGACTTCGGACGTGTGCTGGACCCTTCCTCGCCCCCTCCTCCTCTCCCTCTCCCCCGGTGCATGAACGACGTGCAACCTCTCAGCGGGAGGAGGAGGGAGAGAGGGGGCGAGAATGGGGCATAAGTGCTTCGGCAGTAGACAGCGGCCAGCCGGTGAATGCGTTCCAAGAGCTGCCGTTGTCGGCTGGACTTGCACGTTCGGCGGGGCGGATAGACAGACGCAAGGACGGGCGGTCGGTCGGTCGGTCGGACGGGGTGCAGAAATGTTGCTATCTGTTGCTATCCGGCTGACTGTCCCTGCCCTGCCGGTGGTGCCCTGCTGCGGGGCTCCGTGCCGGCCTCTGCGGGCCCCACTTGAGCAGGCTCGAGGCCTCACTGCATGACTGGGCGGTATCGCCCAGCAGGCTGGACTCCAGCGGCGGCCCAGGCCGAGCTGCTGGGGCGACTCGGGGTCCGGAGCTGTACCGGGGGCCGGGTCGACGCGAACGTGTCGGTGCCGAAACGGGCCGCGGGACGAGCCCGAGGTCCAGGGCCAGGGTCGTAGGGTAGGCGCGTTGTGGGTCGGGTTCAAGGTCACCCCATCTGAACGCACTCGGTTAACAGTGGACGGGGTATTTCACACTGCGCCGCATGCCAGTCGCTCACCATGGCGCCT